CATATGTAGGCAAGTATATTTCTCCTTTTTTTTAATCAAGAAGCAAAGACGAAAAGGAAAAAAAAGAAACAGGGCAGAGTTCGGTGGTTGAATCATCCGTCCCCACCAATGCCAAATCCAAATCTACGCCCTTGGTTTGCAAACTATCTACACTCATATGGAAACCAGAAAGTTTGCAATACTTTGAATTAGTATCTTTTTGTAACTACATTTCATAATCACAAGACTTACTTTCTCCTGGCTCCTTGGATTTTCTTCCACTGGAATTTTTCTTTAGCATATTCCTGCCTGTCGTAAACAGGTTGGTTAGTTCATCCAGAGGGCTGGTGGGTGTCCTTGAGCGGCCTGTTGATACATTTTGCATAGACCCGTGAAGTCGTCCGACACCATCTTGAGGTGGCGAGCCTTTTCCATGCGGTGTAGCAGAAGCACTTCGGGGCAGACCCCCAGGGAATGGCATTGGAGCATCAAAGGGAGGTGTACGCATGAGGCTGAGAGGGGTGAGACAGCGACCCATGCTGACTGGCGACGGACAAGCAGAGTGGCTACGCTGATAGGAAGATGATGATGAGGATTTATAAAGGGTACAGGGCAGAGGAGGCGCAGAGGAGCGTCCAGAGACAGTGAGAGTTGGGGTGGCTGTGAGCTCCCTACGGATGTGTGCGGAGGAGGGTGGCTCGGTGGAAGAGGTGGGAGATTTGCTGTATGACTGGTTCTCCAGCATGGGCAATTTGGCTACATCTAAAGGGGTGAGGGGAGACTCATCTGAGTTAGGTGAGCACTGGGCAGGCGCTGGTGGGAACACCAACAGTGGAGGTCGATGAGTGAGTAAATTGGGGAAGGGTGCAGGAATGTCACACAGTGGAATGTTTCGAGGTGTGGAGCAGCGGCTGAGAGGCTCAGGTTCATAGGGTGCCGGGGTAGGGCACGCAGAACGACATCCTACAGGGTCGGTGCGGTACTCCATGTCATCCAGAGCTGGGTACTTCATCTCCTCGTACACAGACTCATCTGGCTCCTCATCCTCACTCTTCAAGGGTTCTCGCATTCCAACATCAATCCCACCCATCTCTATATAGACAGGTTCGTCTTCACAGTCATCAGTAGGGCTGTCATCACTTTGAGAAGGTGATGGGTTGCATTCGTTAGGGGAAGTGACATGGTGGAGGGGTTTGGAGGGGCAAACCCCACTGCCTCCATGGCTCTTAATGTAGGACTCATCAAAGGAAACACTCAGTTGTGTGTTGGGGTTCCTCTTGGGTTTGGGTGGTGGCACCCTCCTGCAGTCCTCACTGCATCCCTGAACTGCTCAAAAGGAGAGAGAAAAAAAGTCTAAGATCTAATTTGTTGAGGTATGAGTCAAATAATTATTGAGTCATATATAATAGATTACTGAATTGGGTGAAATTCAAGTTTTTGTAATCTATTTGTCATTAATTATTAATGTGGGTCAGTTGTAGGTCTATATGTGCTGCTCAGCGCAATATCTTGAGTCAGATATGTGGGAATAGTTGAGGCATATACATGTTTCTAGGTCACATATATGGCAGCATGCGAGTATACTATCTGGGTCACACACACTGTTGAGCTTCTTTCTGATAGTGGTGACGTAGCTTTGCAATGCGAATCTCTTTAGATGTGGTGCGGAGAGGCATTTATACAGCTAGTACTGTAAAATACACTGCGGTACCACTACAGTAGCTTACAGAGAGTAGCCATAGCTCTATGCTCCCAACTTGCTCTGAGTCTATTTCTAGGTCAAATACTGAGATGTTTAGACAGAAGTGTCCCTCACACTGGCAGGTAGTGGGAGATGAATGTGGTTAAGAGCTGAAGTATGTCTAAAATTTTTAAAACTGCAAATTTTATACCTTAAATAATTCATGTGGCAGATGGCCGAGACACACTCCTAGTTCCAGTAACTGTATGACTCACCACCCTTACTCCATGCATACAGGCGCACAAACACACACTAAAGATGCCGACACCTTAAGAGAGAGGAATTAGGACTGATATGTACAGTTCACAGTTTAGGTTGTTTTTGTTTTGTTTTTCTATTTTTTTTTACCTTTTTTGTTTTGCAAAAAATTGGATACAGTGTATTGCACGTTTATAAAAATGTCTCTTGTTTATAATATTATTTGAGAAAAAAATGAATTCAATGTTAGGTTTATTATTCAGTGCGAGAACCAAAAGTAAAGACTACAAATTAAAACAAAACATCCAATTTTGTTCTGCTTTTTGCATGCTATACATTTAGTCACGATCATATATATAAACTAATTTGAACAGAGGATGCTTGGGTCTTTTGGGCTGGTGTTCTCTCCTAATTAACACTTGCTAATAATGTGCTAATACAAGATTTGGTTAAGCCCAAATGTGTTTTGGCATGTGCTTCTTTGGACTATGATACTGAGATTCCTGCATATGCTCCTCTCCTGTCTTTGTGTGGGCATGCATGTGTATATATGTGCGGGCAGTAATGGGCACATAATGGTGCTCCTCTTCCTCGTTTCCACAGCAGCAAATTACATTACTACACTAGCAGGTTTCCATGGTTAATGCTGAGATCTGTTTCAGCATGGATGATGAATCCACCCCTTCAAAACATCGCTTTCCTTTCTCTTCTCCTCTCTCCACTGCTCCCTCTACCCCACCTCCCCCTTGCAGCGGATGTGTTTACCCGCAGCACCCTCCCCCCTCCCGCTCCTCCTGGGGAAAACGAATCTAGGTCAATCGCTCCTCCTGAATGAATTCTACTCTGACAAGCTCCTCCCCTTACCACTAAAGCGCCAGCTACAGAGCACGCAACCCTCCCCTCAGCCAGGGACACCCCCACACTCTCAATTTGATTGGCTCAGAAGCCTTAGTTTTCAGCATCTCTGGAACCTCATTGGCCCAAGCTGCTCAGTAATGCTGGGATTGGCTGGGCTGCAGGGGGTCTTGTTTCTGTGAGATGGTTGCCGTGGTGCCCAGGAAGATCTGTGCGCACATAGTGATCCCCACCAATCTGAGCCAGGCAGGGTGACTCCCTAAACATCACGTTGGCAGCAAAGCATCCAAACTGGAATGGAGTCAATGCTCCCTGCAAACTCTAAATCTTTTTGTTATTAATGCAACCTGAAAACTCTATCAGTTTAACTTTGCAAAATGCATGTATTGTGAT